AGAAACAAACATCCACCATATATGCAACTCTCTTCTTCAACGGAACCTCCTCCTTGTTAGGCCTTGTCCTTTTGGAGATATTCTTTATTTGTGGAAGATAATCAAGATATTTGTACAACACAAAAGGCATGATGAGTGTGAACACCACGGTATATAAAGCAACAGTTCTACTGTCAGCTTTACCAAAAAATTTTAATGAACTATCATCTTCAGGCTGCAAAATTTCATTGCCATTGTTACCAACAACATCGGTTTCACTACACCATCTACGAAGGTTAATATTCTCTTCCTGCAAGCAGATTTCACTAATTACAATATTTGATAAACAATTACCCAAATCAAAGTTCTAAACCAAAGAGCATAATGTTATAGAAAAACATCAGAAATTCTTATCTACAAAACTACTAATTATATAAATGCGCGTACCTCTAATCTCGCAACTTTATTTCGCAGGTGAATTACATGACTTACAGGAAATATGCAACTGAAAATAATCTGCAATAATAATAATAATAATAACGAAAAAAATTAGAACCATAATATCTCAGACCAATAATAAGAAAATGTTTATTTTTCGATACCAGACAAAAGATGAAATAACGCTTCAATTTCATCCCTCGAATCCTCTTCGCACTCGACGAACTCACTGAACTCGACTCAGTCACCGTCGTCGTCGAAACTTGACTCTCCACAATTTTCACTTCCTCCTTGTTTGTAGGAGTGTTAATCTGCTGCTTCTCATCCACCACCTTACCCTGTACCCCATCAACTAATCGCTCCCCACCTCCTCGACTTGGTGACTTGGGCGCCGCCTTAACAGTCACTACCCGATTCCTTGCCACATGCGGCCCAAGAAACGAAGGATACATCCAATCCCTATCCGATAAGCTATTTACGTCAATGTTAAGATTACCAGTAGTAGTAACATTGTTTCCACTACTGTGTTTGACGGCGGACGCATCGGTGTCAATGGAGGAGCGGCGATCGGACGACGGGGGAAGACTGGTGACACGACGGACGGCGGGGAAAAGTGGGCCCGGAAAGTGCGGGGTGGGACGCGGATCATCCGTTGATATAGTTTTGAACTTCTTCAGTACCGGTGGCCTCTCCGCTTTTTTCGGGCTAGGGTTTCGCGGCGGTTGAATTGAAGTTGATTCTCCAGAGCCACCGTTGCTTCGCATTTTTTTTTTTCTATTTTAGAAATCTTCGATTAAATTAGCTCTCAAAAACAGAAATCAAAACAACTGAAATAGCTGAATCCATTGAAAGCGATCTAAGACAAAAAAAAAAGAAAAGAAAAAAATTCAGTTAAAAGAGAAAGGGTGTGAGATTCAGTGGGGGAGCTTGTGCTTCTGCTTGTCTTTTCTTTGGTCTGTCATACTTTTTTCTTTTTCTCTTACTGATTATAATTAACTAATTATTACTATGATTGAAGGGGTCGGATTTGGTACATCTGGTCCGTTAAAAGTGGGGAAGGGAGGGTCGATGGTGACGTGGACGATTGAGAGGAGTTGAGATGCTTAGTTCTAAGACAGGCATCAGTTATTTTAGTTTGGACTTCGCAGTTTGTTTGAGACATGTCAAGTTCACGAACATGTTTGGAAGTTGAAAGGAAAATATAAATTTGCAACGGCCAGTGTGGTAGAAAAGCGAAGAAAAAAGAAAGAAAGTTTTGTCAAAAGTAGAGTCAATTTGTAATTGGCAAATGTAACTGTGAAAGCAAGGAACATTCCAAGCAATTGGGCAATTGGCTTCTAGGCATCTGCCATTAAAGTAGGACTTTAGTGGTTTTTTTTTTTTTAATATGGATAAAATGCAAAGCATTATCTTTTGATTTTTTTTCAAAGAAAAATAAAAAAAATTTATAAATATTGATATTTAAATTTAAATTTATTTAATATTATGTTTTAAAAATAATAATATAAATTTAAATTTAATAATCTAAAATATAACACAATAACATAATATGAATACAATATGAATAAAAAATAAAAAAATAATATGATTTAAAATTTTAATAATAATTATATATAAATTTAACAAATAAAAAAATATTTTATATTTTCGTATCAATACAAATTATGATATATAATTTACATATAAAACACTATATAAATATACAAATTTTAATATTTTACTCAATAATAATATATGTAAGATCTGTATGAACTAATCATATTAAAATTTGAATTTACTTGTTTAATTTATATATAAAATTTTAAGATTGTTAAGAGACATGAAATTTGTGAAGAAATGTTATTTTGTAACACAATTCAATAATTTTAAAAGAAATTAAGAAATGGAAGTAGATTAATACCATTAGCAATTTAATTGTGCACAATGTTAGAAGCACTTTCATGTTTAAACATATAGTACTAATTAAAACTAAAATGTTACAAAAATAAGATAATCTAAATATGTATTTCACTCTAATGAGAGAAAGGGATAATAAAGTAATAAGTATGGAAGCGTAATTACTATCTATGAGTTGGTACAGGTGAAAAGTATCGTAATCGTGGAGGAAATAGTGAGAGCGAAATGCTACGATTTTTTTCGTTAATGGAAATGTGATTGTCTAATTTTTGCTCTTTCTCCTTCTCTTCATCTCTGTTAATATATTTAACAGCTGGTGTATACGAAGAATTGCTTGTTATCCTGCAAAACAAAACCAATTCCATGCACAACTTAGAACAATAATTTGTCACTTCCAAAAACAATCACTACATATATTATTTTTGCTAATTTAAGGAGAAAATGCTGGGGGAAAAACATTAAGACGATCGTGTGACGTTATAGTTTCGAGATTTATAAATATTAAAATTAAAAATTTATATTTGTTAAATAATTTATTGTAAAATATAATTATGTAAACTAATTGAATTAAAATTTTGATGATATAATTTTTTTATATACATGCGATGACGTTTTCAATAGAATGTTGGAGTGAAATTTTTCTTGAAATTGGGAGGTCTGAAATAGGCAATTAAAAATAGCTCGTTAATGTCCAAAAAGAATTGTGTTCACAGGATTTAAAGAACTATCACATGGTACTAGTTAATTTCATGCCGTATCTTCAACCAAATTTACGTTTATACTTGGCACAGAAAATTGCGTTAAACCTGCTCGTAGCCTGGAAGAAGAATCTATGTTGGGTCGAAGAAGTGTTGTTTTTGCCTGATCTGTTTTGGTCATTTCATTTGATTGAAGTTACAGGCTTTAACAAAGGACTATCTCCGGCTAGAACCATGATGGCTTGGGCCTACAACAATGATAATGGGAAGGAAAAACAAAAGATTCGGTATAAAAGCATGTAAAGAATCATGGTTTACAAACATTTGTAAGTGTTTCTCACCTTACCAGTAGGAACATCATCGTACACGTTGATAACCCCAGCATAGAAAATTGTTATTTGTGCTTTTCAGGACTTGACACCACTACTTGAACTTGTTTGTGTTTCATCACTCCTATATTCGAACACAAAAATTGGGCCATTTAGTAAAAGAAGGGATTTGCATTTACCTAAGAGTTGTGGGTTTTTATCTGTTTAGTACTTAACCCTGATTCCTGGAAGTAATTCTCGTTCGAGAAGCGAAAGGGGACGAGAATAAGGAGCAGTCAAACTCAGATGGCATTATTAAAGGAATAAGAGCTCGAGGTTTAGACTTCTTTTTGATGACATCTGATTCTTCTGGTTGGTATTGCCAATGTTATAGTTTTGAGATTTTCTGAGATGATACTTCCTAGACAAACCAATAGTCTGAGACATATAATAATCTTTTAGACTTGTTAATGAAGTTAAAAAATTTTCATTGTTAACACATCAAAAATTATTAAACTATAAATTTTTTTGGTCAAAAGAGAGAAACTACCAAGTCTTATATTAACGTTTATGATATATAATAAGTACATGAAGATTTAAGTCACAGATTGCAACAACAACGTCAAATTTTTTTTCTATAAACTGAAAGAAATAATGGAAGAGAATTAATGTTCACAAGTGCATAATAATGTGTTTTCATGTCGGTGAGCAAAGATGGCCAACAAGAAAGACAAGTCCAATTATTTAATTATTCATATACTTGTCTAATGTCTACATTCTGAAATGCAAACTTGTGATAATAATAATAATAATAAGAAGAATGAAACATATATACCAAAAAACAATGCAACAAAGGAATTTATGTTGGGCATTGCAAAGCATGTTTTTTGGGTCTGATTATATTTTTTATTAGATCTTATGATTTTTATGATTATATTTTTTATTAAACTTGACAATTTTATATTGTACTCTCATATTTGTTTAATTTAAAATATGTATAACATAAAAATTATATCATAATTATAAAAATTATTATATCATAATTTATAACAACACATCAAATATGAAATTTTTACCGAATTCCTTGAATTTTTATTGAAAAATTTTAAATTATATTATTTTCACCTTTTTTTATCATTTTTGTTTCATGTTTAAAGTTACAATGTTTATAAACTTAAAACTTAATTCAATTGATTTATACAACCACCTAACAGATCTCAAATTCGAAACCCTTACATCTATAACCTTTTCTCCTAAGCCCTTCCCCTATTCCTAGAGTAGAGCCTACTTTGTTTAAAAAAAATTACAATGTCTATTTTTTATATATAAAAAGATAATAACTGAACCCTTTTAAAAAAAAAAAAAAGCCCTCTTCTTCATCCTACGTTTTTTTGGAGCTATAATTGTTTTGATCTAGCCATCATATTCTAGTGTTTGTCTTGTTTTATCTTTGTCAAAACCAAATCCTTTTCACTCCAACAGAGAAAGCAGCGCCCATCCATTTTTTACAGTCTAGAACCCACCTCGCTTAACCAGTAAACTAACTAATAAAATCCTATGATGTGCCCCTTTTTAATTAGATAAAAAAAAAAAAGCATTGTAACTTAAATATACAACCTTCTCTAAAGCGACTTTTTTTTTTTAATGATAATAGTTACTAATTCAGCTAATTCAGGCCAACAGAAAGCAAGAGTTACATTAATAGAAAAACCATGCAAAAAGTTTAATGGATCTTGTGGCTAGAGACAACAGCTTTGAAAATAAATTCCAATGAATGAAGCTTACCGGGTGACAAACAAAAAGGAAAAGGAAAAGTGAATTTCTTCATCCTCACTTTTCATCACCAAGATCTTGATCACTAGTTATAGCATCAGTAGATTTAAAATGTCTCCAAAAGAAGCCCAAACTGCTACCCATTATATTCATAATCACTGCAGACATGGCTGCGGGTAATGCTACCATGGAAGAGGTGAAATGGGATGTTGCCAATACCACGCCCAAGGAAGAATTTTGCATGCCAACCTGATTGAGAGAAAATGTCATGCATGTAAAAGTTGCACCAAAGAGTAAACAGGTTTCTGACAAAGATAAGAGAAGAAAGGAATAATTGAAATACTTGGAATTTTATCAAACAATTTCTGATACGGAGTGCAATTGTTATAAAGATCCAATAGATGGGTTGTTAATGCTTTGCCTATAAAGGATCAATATAAACTTGTATATACCTCAATGGATATTGCTCGCCGCTCTGGTTCTCTGAATCTAAAAATAGCTGCTGATAAGTACCTGCAGATAAACGACTCCTTAATTAAATACTAAAACTCGGACATCATTTAATCCGATTATTTAATTGCAGTTTCTTGTTTTAGGTGGCAGAAAGCTTACAAAGGATTGGTATTAGATTGGTCTAAGGTTATAAAAGAAGAATGAAAAGTTTCTAGTTCAAGTTTGGAGAAAAGGTCAAAAAGAAATTAGCAGAGTCAAACAAGATAGAAAATCAGAATGAATCTAAATGTAAAAGGTAAGTTCAGTCATATCTCATTTTCATTCTAATCACCATACAAAATTCATGTCAAAAAAGAAATATGAGGAGCAACTCTTACCCCACAAAGAAACCAACAAAATGTAACAACAGCACAGAAAGTATTACAACACCCAGCTCTCCAGAGAATATTGAGTGGAGGCGATCAATTAAAGAGGCATCAGAAGCCAATGATGCATTAACCATTGAGGACTTCAAACGGACAACATTTTCTGAGAAAACACTGGAGAGGAATCCCCAAAACCAAAAGTTACAGGAATAAATTAAGGCAACACAAGAGAGGGATAAAGTAAGTATCCAACAGATAAAATTCAATAACAGATAACCTGCATGCAAGTAGTGATGAAGCTAAAACAGCAAATAATGGGGCAAATGGTGTAACAATTTTCACCACAAAAGGAAATGAGCTCTGTATATAAGAACCTAGCAGAACTGGAGCCACAACCACCTGGATAAGATATAATAAGAACTATGAATTCCAAAAACAAAGATGAACATATGGAATACATCTTTACATGTCAAAGTTCATATGACTGAAGTGTAGAGTTAGCTAACCTGCAGGGTGCTGATAGAAAGCCCAAAAGCATCCACAGGAACATAAGTTCCTGCCAGAATCATAGTCAAAAGAGGAGTAAGAATTACTGCTCCAAGAGTAGTGCAGACAGTCAATACAGTTGATAGTGGAACATCCCCTCGAGCAATAAAGGTCACCTGTAACACTATTTCAGCAAATAAAAAGGATGTATCTTTTGAAAAACAAAGCAACTTATTGGGTCAACAAACTCTGTTAAATGCCTATACCAAGAAGAAAAAGCATCTTCAAAAATGTAAAATTTCTGCTAAAAGGGCTTCCTACTGAGTTTGAATGTATATAATTGAGGAGAAGAACATTATGGGTAAAGAAACTCTTACCACATTCGATGCAGCACCTCCAGGGCAACAAGCAAGTAAAATCAAACCAACAGAAAGAGATGGTGAAAGCCCCAAAGTTTTGCTAATAACCATCCCAAAAGTTGGCATAATTGTGTACTGAGCAACACATCCAAATAGAATCTATGAAAGTAGGAAAAAGAAAAAAAAAGGATGTTCATAGGCAGCAAAGCAATTATGTGATAAACAAGATTACTCTGTGCTTTTAAGTTAAAAGTTAGAACATCTAGCCCTTCCCATAGAATGAAAATAATACCATTTACAGAGGTACAGACAAGTATAGGGCACCAGCCAATCCATCATGCCCTAGTACACTATTTATAGTTCCAGTTAATGCATACTGCAGAGTGCAAACATACAGTTATTAGAAAACATTTAGTAAATGTATTTGAAGGAAAAACAAAAGATGTGTCAGTACTGGAACTAGTACTTCACATTGTACATTACATCAGAGGATCAATTTCGAAGAAGTTTAATTGATCCAAAAACCTTGCTCATTACGGTGTCACTCTCTTAAGATTAAACTCATGAACCAAGCATGCCTACATACCATTCTCAGATTCCAGAACAAATTCCAATTATAGGACAATCACTGAATCGCATAACAAGTAACAACATATCCAAAATGTTAGCGAAATAAATTCCAAATTCTAGCTGTAATAAATTCCAAATTGTTTCCAAGACAATATTGTCCCAAAATTCAGGGCCAAATTCTAATAAACTTCCATAAAATCAACTCGGATTGAAAAAGTGAAGCGTACCCTCTTCTTAATTTTCACTAAAGAAATTAATTTCTAGCAAACAACATCATCTTTGTCATTAATGAAAACTCACAGAGAGAGGTCTTTGGATGAACAAATTGAGCAAGTCCTTGAGTTCCAAAGTAAGACCCATAGCTAACATAATCAGCCCAAGTGACAAGCTATATGAAGCAGGTCCTCTCTTCACAAACCACGCAAAAGCAGATGGTTTCAAACAAGCCACAGCGCCACCAACTGTCACATACAAAGGGTAAAAGCTTGCAGCGGTCGATAACATATTTTCCCATCTGGGCTTTAGCGGAGCGACAGGGAACTGCTCAGAATTCTCACGGACAGACTTGACTATAGGCAGATAACATAATTTTGATGGCGAAGAAATTGTGGATCTGGATGGCTGGGGTTTGAAGGTGAATTTCAGATGGCTTTGTGGTGGTGAAAGAAAGGGACTGAGCCCTAAAGCGAGAGACATGATGAATCAGTGTTTCTTTAATTCAGCTGAAAGAGTGAAGAGACCGTGGAGTTGCATAAAGTCCAAAGAGTTCTTTACTTCACCTATTTTGGATCTTTGAGAACATCAAAAAGAAAGAAAATCTTGTGAAAACAAGGTTAAGAGTGACACAAACCACTATAGGAGCCGTTAAAGCGGTTGGGACCACATCAAGTGCCATTAAAGGACCTGAAATCTAAGTGGCAGGTCAACAACAGTCAACCTGTCAAGCAACTTCTGAACCTCCACTCCTTTCATTTCCCTTCATTTAAAAGGTCAAAAAAAAAAAAAAAAAACCCTTTCTACTACAATTTCATAGCTTTACCGCTCCCACGTCCTTGGGCAAGCAACCGAAGTCATCGAAGAGGAAGTCAGCAATAATTTTTGTCTGAACTCATAAAATTATCATGGAGGTAGTTGTAACATCAGCTCTAATCATGAACCGAAAAAAAACAATAATGAGAATATCGTTCACCCATAACCCATAATCTAAACAATGAATGATAGAACAGAAAAATTAATAATTAATTACCACAATCATAAAAACTTTACTCAACAAACCTCACCTTGGTAGTACCATAAAGCTTACAACAGTCTGGGAATTCCGGAATCTAGCATTCTCACGAACTGTGAGTACCCTTTCTTGAGAAAGATGAATGACGCTCTACCAGGAAAATTTGTTTTCCAAGAAATCACAAAAGAACAGAACACAATTTTATGAAACTTCATTTATTAACTTACTTTCGCTGGTTTTATTTGAACCACACTCACTCGGGGCACATGCACTAGAAAATCGGTTCCTTTGACTAGTTTCATTTATTAGCTGAAGAATTGGGTATGGGTTCCACTTAACAATCGGTCAAAATTTCTTTTTACTTTTTGATTGTTGCCTTGCTTTTTCTTTCTCTGCAAGAAACTACTTGGGTGTGGGTCCCACTAAAAAATGGCTTACAAATTCGTCTTATTTTTTGACCGTTGCGTTGCTCCTTCTCCAGCAAGAAATCGCTCCTATTTTTATGCACTCCTAGTTACCAAACAAAATTCTCATTTTTCAGTTGATTAGAAATGAGTCGGAGGGCTAGTCATCAAGAGGTTCGACTTGTATGGCTTCGGTGACGAGGACGAGAGAGTTGAGAGGGAGTCCGAGGAGATTCTTGGAAAGTTTAAGAATGCCGCAAGGGAATTTCTCCAACCAAGAAATACAAGTTTCTTCAATGCGGTAACTTTCTTTCTCTTTTTCTATCTGTTGACTTTAATCCTTTCGTGATTTATTTGTTTGATGGCCGAGAGAGTGTGGGAAAATGTGATTATATGAATTTTTATATATCCAGCGTGCTTTGAATGTTTTAGAAGAAAGTGAAAAAATGCCGCCGTTTGTTTTATTCTAATTTCATCCTCTTCAATGCTGTAATTTTCTTTCTCTTTTTCTATCTGTTGACTTTAATCCTTTAGTGATTACCTGTTTGGTGGCCGAGAAAGTTCGGGAAAATATGATAATATTAATGTTGATATATCTAGCGTGGTTTGTGTTGGGAAAAACAACAACACCCACGCGCAGCAACCACACACAAAATAACAAGCTCAAATCAAAAATAAAAACACACAAATATTTTTGGTTCAGCCCAACTCAAAATGGCCTACTCCAAACCAAATCCACTATCAAATAAATCTTTACAATTGTGAGACTTTTAGAATGAGAAAAGTCTCCTAAAACTCCTTACTCAAAACTTAACCCAAAACCCAATTACACCCTTTAATAGCCTACTCACTTAGCTATTTTCTTGGTGTCTAACTCTCTGAGGTTACTAAACTAAAACCAAAACATCTTATTTATAAGGGTGAAACCCTTTATACCTTTACCAAACTCCCGATGTGGGATACAAGACAAATTCAAACTTACTTAACTTTTGATGTGGGATTCTGAGATTTAAGGCAAATCCCAACAAATCCTCCCTTGACTTGAATCTCCAAATACTTCAACAGTATTTGCAAAGCTAACATGCTTACCTTTCTTCTTTTCTTTCATCACAGGCATTCCAGCAACTGAGCCTCCATCAAACATGTACAAGTGATTGACCATATTCCCTTGTAAAATCACACTATCATTCTTATACACTTTCAACCAATCATTACTACCATAAAATGTGTATCCCCGAGAAGATAACTCACCTAAAGCAATCAAATTGTAGTAACAATTTGGTACATACCTTACATGACGAAGTGTCCTAATAACACCATTGTGAGATCTAAGGCGAACACTCCCAATGCCTTGAATCTGCACCTTTTCTTTGTTAGCAATCACAATATCCCCATACTTTTCATTCTCATTCAACTCCACAAAGCAGCTCCTATCATTGCAAACATGAACTGTAGCAGCTGAATCTAAAACCCAACCTTTGTCACTTTTCAAAGTCTGGGTCTCATCCACACAAGTTGTCAAAACAACATCATCATCATCAGACAAAATAGCAGCAGTATCACTCTTTTCTTCATCTGATTTCTTCTCATCATTCGCCCTTTTGAAAGCAGCCATATCCCTTCTCAGCTTCCTGCAGCGCACTTGGATATGTCCCTTCTCACCACAATAATAACATTCTACATCACTGTAATCTCTGTCTCTTGACTTGGATCTCCATCTTGATCCATCAATCCTCTTTTGAGTCCTCCCTCGATCAAAACCCTCTACAGCTAGTGTACTCCCCCCAGGTGATGAGTTCTGAGCTCCCATAAACCTTTCATTCTCACGCAACAGGGCAGTCACATCATCCAACTTCAAAGTAGACCTGCCTACCAACACAGTCTGAACTAAAGGCCTATAAGACTTGGGCAAAGATGACAGCAAAATTAAAGCCTTCTCTTCATCTTTTAACTCATCAACAGAAATCGCTAACAATTGAGAAACCAATTTATTAAATTCATTCAGGTGATTATGAAGACTCATACCTTCTTCCATCTTCAGAGAATACAGATCCATCTTCAAACATAATCTATTAGTCAACGACTTCGAAGCATAAATACCTTCAAGCTTATCCCACAAACTCTTCGGAGTACTCTCAGTCAACACACTGTACTTTACTTCTGGAGCTAACGCCAATCTAATAGTACTAACAGCCTTCTTCTGAATCCTATTCCAATTAGCATCAGACATTCCTTCAGGCTTACTACTCTCCAATGCCTGATCCAATCCTTGTTGTACTAACAGATCTTGAATCGTACTTTGCCATAACATAAAATTACTCTTTCCATCAAATAACGGAATCTCAAACTTAGGCATAGACATACCAGACATACCTTCTTCAGACATCTTCAAACACTGCTTCACGATCTCTTGGACCCACGAACCTAGAACCTCGAACCTGGAACCTCGCTCTGATACCACTTGTTGGGGAACACCACAGCTCTGATACCATTTGTTGGGCTAAAAGCCTCCAATCCAATCGCACCAGCGGAAGCGAAATCAAACAATAAATCAAACACACAAGAGACAATAATTTAACGTGGTTCGGTCCAACTGACCTACATCCACGGATGAGAAAAAGATGTAAGAGAGTTGTAGGGTTTTATGGGATAGACATCCCATAAGAGTATTGGGGCTCTACGTCTTATGGATGTGTATGTTTGTTTGTGTTTAGACTAGAGGAGACTGAGAGGGTTCACATAGGTATGATGTAAGGGAACATATGGGTATGTGTTTGGTTGTATTGAAAAGGTGCACAAGAGTTTGGGTTTGTGTTTGTTTGGGTAGAAAATATTTCATAGGACTAGAGGAGATTGAGAGTGTCTTATGAGTATTGATTGTTGAGTGAGGTTGATGATTTGATGTAAGTTTTAATTCTCTAACAACTAGTGGGGATCTGTTTCTCATACCGTGGATGTAGTCAGTTGGACCGAACCACGTTAAATTATTGTCTCTTGTGTGTTTGATTTATTGTTTGATTTCGCTTCCGCTGGTGCGATTGGATTGGAGGCTTTTAGCCCAACAGTTTGAATGTTTTAGCAGGAAGTGAAAAAAAAATTGCCGTTTGGTTTATTCAAATTTCAAATCCTTTTCTCTCTTTTTGTTTTTTTCCACTGAAACTTTTTTGTTTCTTTTTTTTTTTTTTTTTTTTTCATTTGTTTGGCCTTCATGTTGTTTGATATGACTATGTTTGTTTGTTTGATGAAAATCTATGTGGAAGAGAAATGATGGAATCTGAACAGGGAAAGAAACATGACTTTGTTTTTCCTTTTTACATTTTCTGGTTAATAAACGCACCATAACCTAGCTGCCTTTAACTTGTGCATCTATGTAATATGTATGTGTGTGTTGATTTAATAATCTTTTTCTATCCTTCGTAATTGCCTAGCAAAATGAAATTAGTAATTGATCCTGACGTCGAAGGTATAGAGAAGGTTTAGGCTTAGTGTCATTTTTACTCATTTATCCATGATTTCTTGTGTAATACCTGTTGCAGATTGCAGATTGCCGATTGCAGCAGGACTAAGCGAAAGTTATTTAGCAATGGACCGGTTGAACTTGATTCTGAAGTTACAGAACCTCAATGTGGGTTGTTATTGCTATTTTTCATTTTTTTTTTTTTGTTTATGCCTCTGCATAATTTTTTTATGTGATATTTGATCTTGAGTTGGTTTATGGGTATATGTATTTCCCTTGTATCAATCAACATATATGTGACATTTCTTTTTCAGTGTTTCTTTCCTTCTTAAATCCTTTAACTTTTGTATATATTTAACATTATATTTATGTTTATTTAATAACCTTTTTTCTTTTTTAGTAGATTGGCAAAATGAAAACAGACAAATTGATCTTGACTTTGAAGGTATGGAGTAGGTTTAGGGATTTCTTAATTGCTACAGCCATTGATTCGTTGAAATTTTCAGTTTGTGATCCTTGTTGGTCAGAAAGGCAGGAAGCAATCAAATCATTAAGTGTGAAATACAAGGAATTATGGAATAGTATTTCTGAGTGAGTTTTTCTGACTTAGTTTCTTATCAAGTTATTATCACTTTTTATTGTAGATGTTTTCTTGTGTAATATATAGGCATTTAATTTTGTCCAATCACATATGTTGTTCTTCTCTCTCTTCACCCTTAAAAGATTAGACTTTTTTTTTTTTTTTGGTTGTATAGCTTGGATTCTTGTTCTTCAGTGGAATGAGACAATTTTTTTATGGTTTAATTGCATAGATTTAACCATTCATGTTACAACC